AAAAGCACAAATGCCTATATGCCATTGACTTTGGTCACTCAGAGCTGAAAGTGCAATTTTTAAAACATTGAGATAAAATTCACATAACATAAAATTAATCATTTTAAGGTGCTCAATTTAGTGGCATTTGATATATTCACAATTTTTTTTTTCTTTTTTGAGTTGGAGTCTCAGTGTCGCCCAGACTGCAGTACAGTGGCCGGCCGCCGCAGTCTCGACCTGCTGGGCTCCGTCGATCCTTCCGCCTCAGCCTTCCAAGTAGCTAGAACTACAGGTGCGCATTACCATGCCTGGCTGATTTTTGATTTATTGTAGAGATGAGGTCTTGTCAAGTTGCCCAGGCAGGTCTCGAACCCGCGGGCTCAGGCAATCCACTCACCTCAGCCTCCCAAAGGCGCGGGATTATAGGCTGAGCCACCGAGCCCGGCTTCACAATGTTTTATAACCAAAACATTTTCACCATCCCCCTCAAATAGCCCTATACCCATGAATCAGTTGCTCTCCATTTCTCTCTCCCCCATTCCCTGGCAAATACAAATCTACTTTCTGTCCCTATAGATTTACCTATTTGGAATATTCCATATAAAAAGAATCATAGAATAAGTGATCTTTGGGATTGTTTCTACCTTTTGACTATTGTATATAGCGTTGCTATGAACATTTGTATACAAGTATTTGAGTACTTGTTTTCAATTAACTTGGGGATATACCTAAGAGGAGTTTCTGGATCATATGATAATTCTGTATGTTTAACTTTTTGAGGAACCACCAAGGTGTTTTCCATTAGGGATCGTACTATTTTACATTTCTGTCAGCAATGAACATGGGTTCCAGTTTCTATAAATCCTTGCCAACACTTGTCATCTTCTGCACACATGTGTGTTTTAAATAGCCATCCTAGTGGGTGTGAAGTAGTATCTTATTGCAGTTTTGGTTGGTATTTTCTTAATGATTAGTAATATTAAGTATCCTTTTGTGTGTTTGTTGGCCATTTGTATATCATTTTTGGAGAAATATCTAATAAAGTCCTTTGTTCAGTTTTAGTTGGGTTGCCTTTTTGTTTTTGAGATTTTTTTGTTTTTGTTTTTTGGAGAAAGCAGGATTTATTGAGAAGACAGAAAAGCTCCCACAGCAGAAGAGGACCCAAGGAGGTTGCCCTGTTGTTGAGTTTTAAGAATTTTTTGTATATTCTGGTTACTGGATTCTTGTCAGATATATGATTGATAAATATTTTATTCCATTCAGTGGTTTGTATTTTTATTTTCTTTCTTTTTTTAAAATTAAGCTTTTTATTTATTTATTTTAAAGATGTGGGGTATAATTCAGGATTAGGTATACAAGTGGTCATTGTACAGGTAAAGTTTGGGCCTCTCTTTGGTCCCCACTTTGCCTGGTGTGAGATCGGGTACCCCTATTGATGTTTGTGTCCCCGTCCCCTACCCGGTAATATCCTGCTACTGCCAATCCCTTTCTTATAATATTATGGTAAATGTTCAGGGTCTGCTTTTGCGTGAGAACATGTAGTACTCTGTTCTTTGTTTCTGTGATAGATCACGGAGTATGATAGACTCTAGATCCATCCACGTTGCTGCCAAGTCCCTATGTTTGTTCTTCTTTATGGCTGCATATTAGTCCATTGTGTATATGTACCACATTTTTTTTTTTTATCCAGTCCAGTTTCAGTGGGCAGCATAGTTGGTTCCATGTTTTTGCTATTGCAAATAGTACTGCAGTTTTTTATTTTCTTTATTGTATCCTTTAATGCATAAAAGTTTTAAATTTTGGTGAAATCCAATTTATCTAAGTTTTTTCTTTAGTTGCTTTGATTTTGATGCCATATCTAAGAGTACATTGCCAAATCTCCAAGATCATGAAGATTTACCCCTATAGTTTCTTCTAAGAGTTTAATAGTTTTAGCTCTTGTATTTAGGCCTTTGATCTATTTTCAGTTAATTTTTTTGGAGTCAGGGTCTTGCTCTGTTGCCCAGGCTGGAGTGCAATTGCATGATCATGGCTCACTGCAGCCTCGACATCCTAGACTCAGGCAATCCTCCCACCTCAGCTTCCCAAGTAGCTGGGAGGCACAAACCACCATGCCCGGCTAATGCTTTTCATTTTTTGTAGAAACGGGGTCTTGCTTTGCTGCCCAGGCTGGTCTCAGACTCCTGTGCTCAAGCAATCCTCCTGCCTTGGCCTCCCAAAGTGCTGGGATTACAGACTTGAGTCAGCACACCCAGTCTATTTTGAGTTAATTTTTGTATATGGTGTGAGGTAGGAGTGAAAGTACAAACTTTAAATCCATAAATCTTCTTAATATTTTACTATTTGTATACGCTAGGCTAATAGGTTGTTTATATAAAGGATCTTGGCATTATCAGACAATATTTTTAGTGTATCATTAGAAAAAAAGGAGAGGAGGGAAGGAAGAGTGACGGACGGATGGAAGGAAGGAAGGAAGGAAGGAATCTAGTACAGGTTTAAGACTGTAGTGGGTCAGTGGTTCCCAAACCTGGCTAACAGTGCCACACGAGAAGCTAAAATATACAGACTCCTAGGTCCCTCCCTCCAGAGATGTGAGTCTGGTTGATCTGTAGGTTTCCAAAGCTCTCCAGAAGACTCGATTATAGACCAGGTCTGGGGACCCTGAAGGTGGTAGAGTTTTCTGAAGAGACTCTACAGAGGGGAAATCTGTCCCAAACCAATTTAGGCAGCAAAGCCAGGTCTGAGAGAAAAGCTACAGGGAGGCAGAGTTGGCTCAGGGTGAGGCTTTTTCTCAATGTTCTACCCATAAGGCCTCAGGTTGCTTTGTGATCGAATGAGTCTGATTGCAAGGCTGGGTGCTATGCTTTGGGTTCCAGGGAGAGGACTCCACAATGGGGTGCCTGGTGAGGGGCCTCTGACCTTGTCAACTAGGGAAAACAGACAAACAGGGGCTGAATAAATGCTGTCTAAAGCCAGGACTCTAGTTGTGTAAGCACAGATTTCTCTGGGCCTCCATTTTCAGGCAGAGAAATTCAGCAAAAGGAAGGGTTCAGTGGGCTCAGTGCTTGTCTTTTTCTTTCCTTTTCTCTTTCTTCCTTTCCCTCCTTCTCTTTCTTTTGATTTCCTAGTAGCAAAACCATTTATCCAAATAAAATGCAGCTAATTTCCATACACATCGTTACAAGGAGCTGGCTGCTGGATGACACACAAATAAAGGGCCCAGAGCCTTTTATCTTTCCTCTCTCAGTTCTCCTGTGCCCCAACAAAGCCCTGACTTCCCCTGAAAACCAGTCTGAAACTCCCAGGTTAGATTCTCTAAGATGATGTCAAGACCAGGTCTTGCTGGTCTTACTTGCATGCTGGCAGGTATAAAATGATGACGAGTAAAAGAACGCTTTTTTAAGGAAGGCTAGAGAATGTCCCGGCCTTAGAGAGCTGGGAGGAGCATCCAGATAGGGACAACACTAGAAAATGCTGCCTCCCAATCTAGACTCTTCATCTATTGCAAATATTTGACTGAACTTACTCGTGATCGCCTGTTCTTATCTAATCTTCATTGTCTGTATGCAGCAATCATTAGTTGACTTGTTCTTGGAATGATGCAATGACTTCCTGTGTGGGGAATTTGCAGGACACTAAATTTTCGAGGCTGTAGCTAACAAAACACCCACCCCGGGCTAGGATCTGCTGTGGGGAAAGCTAGTGCTGGTGGCCACCTGCTTCTGTGGCCCCCACATATGCACGATGGTTGCTTTATTTTTCCTTCAGATGTTCTCTTCTAGACTGTAGTTATCTTACACAAGACAACTAAAATGGTATCTGAAGATGTTGCCAGGGCAACCTGACAAAGGACTTTCTCCTCAGCTACTGTAGATGTAATCTGTCAAAGGCAGCTGGTTCACAGAGAGAAGAAAAAGAAAGTTGCTTCTCTTGATGCTTGGAAGGAAAGTTGGAAGACTCTCTTCTGGTTACATCAACTTACGTAGAACAGAAAAGCAGTTCTGACCTGTGCAATAAAAATTCAGATTGGGAATGCCAAGGGGGCAAACCTTAAACTTTTCTTTTGTGAAATCTGTAGACAGATAAAGGCATCAACCAAAACCTGTGAAATAATAGCTACTAAGGTACTTGAAGACCTGGAGCTGAAAATACTTCCTGACGGGAAGGGAACAGAAGAGAGGGCAAGAAGTTACAGAAAGCAACCAGAACATTCGAGCGTGTGTAGATACACACATGAAGCTGGGAGTTCATGACACATGCGAAAGCCCTTCTCTCAAAATCACGATTGCAGCCACTTGTACTGAGACTGGCATTAGAGAGCTCGGAGAATGCACAGAGACCGAGTTCAGTCTGCTCATGGTATCGATGAAAAGACTAGGGCCCATAAAAGGTAACCTGCTCGAGGTTTCACAGCTAGGGAAGGGCAGAACTAAGCCAGAAGCCCTGTTTCCTGCTTCCCCACGGTCTCTCCACTGATCCTGTGCCTTTGTCCTGTGGAATCAGTTTACTCAATCTTTGAAAGAGGTGTAACCTAGACCAGCTTTCAAAGCATGGCCCATGGACTACTGAGTTGTGAGAGCCCCAGGCACCCCCTGCCCTCAAAGAAATGGCTCTGTTTCAATCTATTTTATGCCTCTTGGGGGCCCTACCTAAAATTATTTAAGGGAAAAATCTGATAGTACAAAAAGTTTGAAGATAAATACATTAGATGGCATTGATGGTCGCATAGTCTTGTAATATACAAACCACCAGGCTTTAAAATTGTAGGCTTGAAAATGGTGAAATTTTATTTTTAAGAATTATTTTATCATATATTTAAATAAATTATAATACATACACTAAATGATATTTATTTAAATTAAAAATGAAACACTTCGTTTACACAAGGGGGACACTAAAACAAGGAGTGTGTTGTACTTAGGGTCAGGGACCAAATAGGAACAGAACATAACGACACTGACCCAGAGGTCTCCACTCCCCCGCATCTACCCCAGGATTCCAATTGGGCCACTTCTTACCGAGTTGGTGCCGAGGATCTGCAGGTTGGGCTTCTCCGACTCCAGCAGCTTGGCCACCATCTTGAGGAAACTCTCCACGAAGAGGTTGATGCTCTGGCAGTGGCAGGCCATGAGCAGCTGGTCTAGCGCCTCCATGGCAATGCACACATACCTAGAGAAAGCAGCACATGGTCGTCACTGGCGGCATCCCTTCCACCCCTGCCGCCTGACAGGGACACGTGAGGTGTTAGTGTGCTGACCTCATGGGCAGCATCTGGGTCATGAGGCTTCTCCAAAGGCTGCCAATGTCTGGGCCGCCATTCCAACAAGTGTCTATGCCCATCCAGAAATGAGAATCAGAATGAAGGAGAGCTTGGGGGTGGAGGTTAGTCTAAGGACCGATGAATCCAGTCCTAATTTTACAGATTGAGAACTCCTCCTGGTCGGAGGAGCTATCCCTCTTCATGAGTAAACACAAGCAGCAAGGATTGGTGCCCAGAAGAGCACATTCTGAATCAGAACTCTGTGAGAGTGGAGAATTACTCAATCCAAGTCAGTAAGTGTTTGTGGAGTGTCCACTGAGGAAAGACTCAGTCCTAGTCATGCAGGGGTGTGAGGATGAGGAAGACAGTCTTCAAGTTAAGGAGCTGAGAGGCAGATGGATGAGATAAATACACAGATATTTTCCTTTAAAGGGAAAATACCACAAGGAAATCACACATGACATCTCACAAAGATGAAGAGAGATGGCTTAAGTTGGAAGTCAAGAACTTTATGAAGAATCTGAGATGAGCCTGAGGACCAGCCAACTGTCCAGATTAAGGAATAGAAAATTTATGGCCAGGCTTGGTGGTTCACGTCTATAATCCCAGCACTTTGACTGAGGCGAGGGGATTGCCTGAGGCCAGGAGTTCGAAATCGACCTGGGCAACATGGTGAGACCTCATCTCTACAATAAATAAATAAATTAGCTGGGTGTGGTAGCATGCACCTGTGGTTCCAGCTACGTGGAAGGCTGAGGCAGAAGGATTACCTGAACCCAGGAGGTCAAGGCTGTGGTAGCTGTGACTGTACCACTGTACTCCACCTGGGCAAAAGAGTGAGACTCTGACTCAAAAAACAAAAACAAAAAAAAGGGATTGAAAATTTGCAAGTTTTGTATTTGAAAACCTTAGAAATTCTATGATGACGAAGTGCTGCACAAACAACAAAGCTAATAGCATTACCACATTTAGGTGATACTCCCTACCCAGGGGGCACCAAAGACAAGACAGACACAGGATAGACATCTTTTTCCCTATGAAGAAGGTGCTCTGTAGGAACTCTAAGTCCATAAAACTACTTGAACAAATCTTCTCAAATCTAAAACTCAGTAAATACCTTTGGAAACTGGAAATACACAACATCCCATAATGAATAGCTGAGTCAGTTCATTAGATTTTTGACCACGGAATAAAAACTTCTTTATATTCCAAGCTAAAGCCTAGCAACCTCGATTCTATATTCACAATTCTTCTTTCAGAAGCAACAACAACAACAACAAAAGACACATGTTCTCCTACCTGCAGCCCTTCAACTACTTGAAAATAACAATCTTATTCATTATTCTTGCTCTTCTCTGTGTTAAATATACCAAATCTCCCCCAAACTAGCCTTCAAAGGACAACTCCTAATTATCCCAGTTGTTGTCTTCCTTAATGCCTTTCTTAAATGCCAAGAATCCAATTTCTTTTTTTTTTTTGAGTTGGAGTCTCACTCTTGTTGCCCAGGCTGGAGTACAGTGGCATGCTCATGGCCACCGAAGCCTCGACCTGCTGGGTTTAGACGATCCTTTCACCTCAGTAGTAGCTGGAACTACAGATGCACGCCACCATGCCTGGCTAGTTTTTGTGATTTATTGTAGAGACGAAGTCTCACCAAGTTGCCCAGGCTGATCTTGAACCCCTGGGCTCAGGCAATCCTTTTGCCTCGGCCTCCCAAAGTGCTGGGATTACAGACTGAGCCACCGCACCCAGCCAAGAATCCAATTTCTAATAAGGATTAGAAAGGCACCTCTAAACTCAAGCTCAATATATGTTCCATGAAAGTGACACAGCTGGTTGGGTGTAGTGGCTCAAGCCTATAATGCCAGCACTTTGGGAGGTCAAGGTGAGAGGATTGCCCGAGCCCGCAGGTTTGAGACCAGCCTGGGCAACATGGTGAGACCTCGTCTCTATAATAAATAAAAAAAATTAGCTGGGTGTGGTAGCACACACTTGTAGTTCTGGCTTCTTGGAAGGCTGAGGCAGAAGGATTGCCTGAGCCCAGCAGGTCAAGGCTCTGGTGGCTGAGGGCATGCCACTGCACTCCAACCTGGGTGACAGAGTGAGACTCCAACTCAAAAAAAAAAAAAAAAAAAGAAAGTGACACAGCTAGTAAGGTTTCACATCATGAAAGATATATCCCTCACTTACAAAGCATTAGATACATCCCTCACTTACAATTCATTAGCATTCTAAAGAAAACATGGTAGGCATTCATTGGAAAGAGTTTTTATTTTTAAACTTCTAATGAGGATGCCATTTTAAATCTGTCAGAAATTATTCTTTATAATTTCCTTTAAAGAGTTAGGTTTCTGGGGCAGAATGGTGGATATCTCCCCTATAATCTGCTTCCTCCCTTGCCCTAGTAATTTAGAATTTTACCTGTGCATGTGGCTGCTCACCAGGGACTGCATTTCCCAGTCTTTTTTGTTGCTAGTTGAGGCCCCGTGACTAAAACATTGCCATTAAAACCAGGGGAAATGATGTGAACAATGTCAGCATCTCTTGCTTATAAGACAGGATTGTCTTCCATGTCCTCTCTTTCTTCTTCCTACCAACTGGGAAGTGGCAACAACTGGAAAGCCACATGCTGGAGATCCCTGAATGACCTCATGGAGCAAAGCCCACTGGTCCACTCCAGACTGTGGCATAAAAGAAGGGAAAACAACTTCCCTATTGCTGGAGACACAGTCTTTTTGAGTCTCTTTGTACCCTAAATAGCACAGGCATCCAATAATCAGGTTTAGGAGTGCTCTAGAAACCTGACAGTGCAAATACAGGTGAATCCTGAGACAATCCAAAGCAAATCAAGTGACCGACCTCACAGGAAAGAGATGTAAGAGTTAGAAGTAAGAGTTAGATAGAGGTGTGATCACCAAAAGATGTCATGGACTCAGAGTTTGGGTTTATATGCTCATTACAGGATGGTGATCCTTCTACTTGTAAAGTTCAATTATGTGGAATAATACAAAGAAAATACTGGGGACATAAAGTAAACAGAAATTCCAAAACCTAACTGAGATGCCAAGGAGTCAGGTTAATGCTTTCTAAGTCAAAAAATGTCTCTCTTACAAGACTGCAGTAAAGCTAAGGTTTTTCAAATGTTAAAGTTGCCTGAAACTCTAAAGTTAAGTTCATATGTTCTATATATAATAAGGGATGAGTTAAGAGATTTGTTCTTTATGTCTTGATCCAACTCATATTCATCATTGAATGTTAGGCAGATATTTAAAATTCTTGATTAGCTAGTCTTTGTCTTTTTTTTTTTAATGAAGTTTTTAAAACAAAAAGATACCACAGGAAGAACGATTATACGGCAATATCTAGAGTTATCACAAGGCCATAACACAAGGTTCTACAACACTTCTTGGAATAGCTGCATAATTTCAGATTATTACATGGTGCAAACAGCCTTAGACATGAGCCAAACTGCCTCAGATATTAGATACCATTTCTTACTTCTGTACCAAGCAACTGTAAAAACAATAGCATCCATACACTGAAATGTTCTTCTCCACTTTTATAAAATGTTTATTTCTTTCATCTAGATGAGCTGAGTTGACTATTATTGCATTATTTCATAGTATTAAATACAAATATTAAATATTATTAAATGATTGTTTCTGGGCCCATTTCCAAATGGATCAAATCATGCTCCACCTATAGAGTGTCTTCTAAATACAAAGGCAGCCTTGGCTCTCTCAGCTCCTCTGGAAAACAGGAGCCATGCCTGCCATTCCCCTTCCCGCTCCGTGGCCAGCCATTCCTTGGTCTACAGCTTTGCCCTTCAGAGCCCATCCCAATCACAGTCCAGGAAACCTGCCATGCCTCGCATACTCACACCCAGCAGATTTCAGGTCCACTGTACAGGTTGGTGGGGCAGAGACTGAATCCTGCAGTGTTGGGGAAGCAGACTGGGCTGGAGCCCTTCCAAAGAGGGCAGGATTTCCCTGCAGAGAGACCCGGACACACTCACACAGCCAAGCATGGCAGGTAGGAAATGAGGGCAGGCAGCGTGAGATTCTCTTCTCTTATGAATCATCTCAGCATCCTTCTGCATGAAGGGGTCTGCGGCATTCTGCCATTATTACAGAGTTTAAATGAGGCAAAGGAAGGGGTGGAGTGGGGTTAGGCAAGAGAAGAAACTAGAAGACCTCCCAAACCTCAGAGCTTTTCCTCTTCCTGTAAAAAAATTCCAGAAAATCCTGATATGGAAAAACCATCCAAATGCTGGGGGGAGGGGGGGGGAAACTGGCTACTTACCAGGAGTGAAAAGTAGAAATTTTCCATTTTAGTAGAAGGTGAAAATTATGGTAGAAGTGAAGAAGAAAAGTCACGAAGTGTAAGGCCTATGTCTTTGAATACACTATCCTTTGTTCCCCATCTCTGATCCCAATACTAAGGATGGAATGTTTGTAGTTATGAACTTGAACTTGAGATTTAAAAGTATCTTAGAGAATTAGAAGTCAATCGGACCTGGGAAGCCCCTAGTCCAATGCTCTTCATGTTTGAATTACTTTATTATAACCTTCCCAAGAAAGTCCTACCTGTTAGGGCTATACTCTCAAAAGGAATAGAGTATGGGGTTCCCAGGGTCGGGGTCAGAAGGTTATTACTACTCAACAGGGTTAGGGTCAGAGGGTTACTACCAGCAGAGATCTGATCTGGGGTTGGTTTCCCAGAAACAGTCTAAAGTTGCAACAGCTCTGGGGGTCCGAACTGGCCTAGCTGGGAGTACTTGGAGCAGGATGAGGTAGGAGGGAGCTGGGGCCACAGGTGAAGGCAGAGTAGGTTACAGACCACAGCAGCAGTTGACAATCAAGGGTACCAGATGTCCTATTAGGGCTTCCATCATGTGAGGAGGGTGGAACTCAAGGAGTCAGGGATAGACTGAGGTTCACAGGTAGCAATGGAGGCCAGGAGAGGGCACTTGGCAGGCTATAACAGGAGGAACTCAGGGTCAGACACCAAAACAGAAGGTTATAATAATTGAGGAAAATACACAGGAGCCTGGTGTTTAGGAGACAGGCAAGAAGTACCTTGTATGGAGTCCCAGGATAGGTGGCTGGTTCTGCTCAGATACCTTGTACTTAGTCAGGAGTGGCCCTAGAAACCAGGGGCGAAACTGAGCCTCCAGGGAAGGGGAGCAGGATGGAAAGTCTGGGCACCAGACTTAGTTGGAGAGGAAAGGCAGATTCAGGGTCAGTGGGCAGGAAGAGGGAAGCAGTTTTAATAGGGCCTTACTCAGAGAGCAGGGGCCTTGACATAGAGCCACTTATTCTGGGCAATTTGAATGTATTTGGTCAGCCTGCTCCTGGGCAGAACCTTATGGGTTGTAGGAGCCCAGAAGTAGGAAGAGGAAGTTGACCTCAGCAGAGGAAGGGAAAGATGACCCCTTCTCATCTGGTAGGAGTCTGCAGTATCTCTATCTGAAGGTCAGTCATCCTGCAACCAGGTTCTGGGTCCTTCTGGGGAGTATGTATATCTCAGGAGCCCCACTGCATCACCCCCAGGGCCAGGATCCTTAGGTGAGAGTGGTGCAAGCCTTTTTGGCATGGTGTCTTCATCCCTCGGTCTTGGGTTGGGTGAGAGTGCGTGTTCTGACAGCATCTTGGGGGTTCTGACAGCATCTAGTACAGCTTTCTGCACCTGTCACGGCTCAGTGGTCACTGTCCACTGACTTGAGTCTCACCCAGCACTGCCATTCCCTCCCCTGCTCTCCAGTTTCTGGGGGTGGGTATATTAGTGCTTGGGCTGACCTGGAAAGGAAATGAACAAAGAGGAAGAAGAAAAATACAAGGACCGCCTACCTTTTACTGTTCTGCATGTCACTGCCCATCATCTTCCACCCCAATGAACAATACCTAGAAATTCACATCTTAGTCTCACTCTGCCCGCATTTGGCTGCCTCCCCCCATCAATGCCAAGCACCTATGAACCAGAGGGCACGCGCAGCTGGAATGCGGTGACAATGCAGGGAGGCAGTGGGGCCCAAACAGTGGTTCTACCACCGGGCCCACATCTGAGGTTCGTGTCCGTAAGGTCAAATCATAAATACAGACACCTGCATTATGACAGGGAGACATAGCCTCTCACACTGTCTGAGTATGAATATTTTGCTCTTCCAAAACTGCCATCAGTGACCAGGAAGAAAATGATGATGTATGTGGTGTTGGGTGGGAAAAGACAGGGAGGCCAAGGAGAGAGAACAAGAGATCAGAGGGAAAAGATTTTCTTCTCCAAATGTTTATGGACAAAGCCCTCAGTGAGGCCTTTAGGCTTTAAACACTTAGATACTGCAATGGCTATTTTTAACAGAAAGATACTAAATTTGAATTGCAGTTCTAAGGGCAGCAGAATGATTCTAAGTGGCTCTGCTGGCTACAGGACATTTTTCAGAGATCATCACTGCAGAGAGAATCATCACTGCAGAGGGCAGGCAGAATTAGTATTAAATGTTTAATGTGAGAGCTAGCATATTCGTTTTAGGTTCAGTCTAGGATAAAGTCATTCTTCCTTGTTTGAGTATAATTTACAACATGTCAAGGCCCTTTATATAATCAGCACGCACAGTATATCCATGCTCTTGTTGAGCATGTGACCTAATTGCATTATATAAAATGATTGTGGAAATGTATTGCTTTTGGGACTGCTTTTACACCACAAGTGGTTTGATTTAAGATCTGCTGGTGGGGTCTGTGCTTTCTAAATCTCTGTACCCTGTCAACAGGGTGAGGTTTCCATGCATACCTCACTCTAGTTCAGGCTTGCTCCATCTTCCCCACTACAAGGAAGGGAACTTGGAGGGTAGTGAGGCTGAGAGACAGTGAGAGTGGTTCATCAAGTGGGGGCCAAGGTGAGAAAGCACCATAGAAGCCCAGAGGCAGAAGGCCCAGAGAGTCGGATTAGGGCCAGGTTGTGAAAGACCCCAGAAGGCAAGCTGAGGAGCCTGGATTTTATTCTACAAGAGCTAGGAGAGTCTAGCTTGGCATCTGTGGGATGAAGATCATATCCGGCAGTGTTAACCTGGAGGGACCAGAACAGGAAAGATGGGGAGCAGGGTGACAATCTCCAAGGCTTCTTCCGTCATCCAAACTAAAAGAGAGTAAGAGTCTCCAGGAGAAAGGCAGGAGCAGAGGAAAGTAGAGGAAGGATATACAAGACTCCGTGGAGAACAGAACCAACAGGAACAGCTGCCCTGCACCTGCCTAACCCTCAGGCCTGTGAGCAACACCATCAGGGACAGCTTAGCATTCTCCTGACATCCTGTCTCTGGATTGTGGCATCATGGTAGGGCAGCAAATATAGGGTGCCCTGCAGTTCACTGTTTTTATTGTATAAGCAACACATGCATAATAGAGAATATTTAGGAAACACTTAGCAAAAGTAGATAGAAAACAAAACCAAACAAAAAAAACCGAGCCACACTGCTCACAAAATGAATACCCCTAACATACTGGTATATTTGTTTTTACTATATTTTCTAGCCATTGAGATTTGTTGTTATTTATTTTTTTAACTTGATTGTGAATACTGTCTACATAATTATGCATTCTAATTTTCATTTACGTTGTCATTTCCCATATTATATGGAAAGCATCTTTATAAATAGCTTTTTAATTGACTAGTTAACATTTTACCAAATGTTACACCATAATTTATTGAACTAGTCTCCTTGTGCTGGAGATCTAAGCTACTTCCACTTTTGCTTTATTTTTTATTTTTGTTTATTTATTTATTTTTGAGTTAGGCTCTCACTATGTCTCTCAGGTTTAGGGCAGTGGCACAATCTTCTGGGCTCAGGTAATCCTTCTGCTTCCAAGTAGTTGAGAGCACAGGTGTATGCCACCACATTTGGCTAATTTTTTGTAGAGACAGGTTCTCACTATGTTAGCCAGACTGGTCTTGAACCCCTGGGCAATCCTCCCACCTTGGCCTCCCAAAGTGCTGGGATTATAGGTGAGAGTCATCATGCCCAGCTGTCTTTTTCATTATTGTAAAAAACACCATTATGAACATCTCCATGTGTAAATGTAGACAGATTTTTGGGGATAGATGAATAGAAATGGAATTACTCGGTTACAGAACATAAGTGTTTTTGAAGCTCTTGACATATCTTTCAAAATTACTTTCTAGAAAGTTTCAACCAATTTATACTCTTTCTAGAATAGTATGAAAGTGCCTCCCATTTTGCCATCTCAGAGTGGGAGTTCAATACTGAAAATTATATTTACTTTTAAAAATCAATTTGATAAGATGGCATCTTAGTGTTTCAATACACATCTTTGATTGTAAGCCGACTGGAATATTTTCCCATGTTTGCAACATGTTCTGTCTCCTCCTCTGTGAGCTGCTTATTTGTGGTCCTTGCCTCAAATCTTTCTGTACCTCAATTTCCCCATGCCATCTCAACTATTTGCTATGAGCTACTAAAAAACAAGTTTGAATCCTGTCTTATTTTTTTGAAAATACTCTTTGCTGCTTGCCTTTTAAGTTTTGAGTGTTTCTTTTTTAACATCAAAATATTTAAATTTTTAAACAGTTAAATCTATTGAACAGTCATTTTCTTTAAGATTTCTTCTCTCTTCTAAACATAGAAAGTATTTTCCTCTCGGAAGATTGATAAATATTTCACTGAAGTGTATTTTTAATGGACAAATTGCCCCTACCCTTGCCTGCTGACTGGAATGGAGATGACTCTTCCTTCCTTTTTAGGACAGTAAGTGGAATGAGGCAGACTAGGTTTAACGAGGATAGCAGAGCATTCTAGACTACACACATTTTCTAAGGTCCAGAACCTGTAAAGGCTTCTGTATAGAAATCCGAGGGGTGAATGGAGACTGTCCTAGGAAACCAGCATTCCTTTTCCAAAACCTTGGCAAGAGCATCCCATCTTATCTTGCCTTTGGAAGGGCACACGGTTACACTCCTCAGTCCCTGTCCCCAGTGTCTTGGTCTGTTGGGTAATCCAACCTATGATCACTTTCTTAGACAGACCCTATGTTTAGGCTAACAACAGAATACAGTTTCTGAAGGCCATCTCTCCCTCCTCCCCGTAAGACTTACCCATATCGATGACGACCCACATCACGGATGAGCCTCTCGGACAGGTAGGCACCAATACGATCCAGTTTCTCTGGAGCTGAGAGGGCGTAGAAGGTTAGCTTCTCCATGTTGGTCTTCACCAGGCCATCCTGTAAGAGATGACAGTGTGTGCTCACCATGGCCACTATAGATGAGTTCAAGTCTAGAAGTCAATAATCATTCAACTGAATCAACATTTACAGAGTACCCGTTATGCAGGTACCAGACAACAAGTGGGTTTCAGGGGTACACAGATGATTAAAACATATGAACTCACAATGTAGCCTACAATGTGCCAGTTATACATAAGAATAGTAAGTGGTATAAATGTATATATGTGTGTATATATTTATATTTTATATATACATATATAATGTATATGTAATGTGTGTGTGTATATATATATATATATATATATACACATATACACACACACATACATATGTGCATGTGTGTGACTGTGTATGAATGAATGACAAGGCTTCATTTAAAGTGACTCAGAATGAAATCATGTTGGATACCCCACACCAAGACATGAACAGGAAGAAGGCAGCTCTGCCAGCTCTTAGGGAATTCTCCAGGGTGTGGGAAATGTGATCCACTGCCCATCAAGAAGAGGCCATTGATTCCCAGACAGCAAATCAAATACATCAGATCCTGGCATTTCTTGGACTGCGACCCATAAAGAACCTGACGGTGGAGCGGTGGCTTGGAAACTAAGGACCCAGGCATTCCGTGCCTGGCAGACACCGGAGGGAGGGAGCCAGGAATAGAGAGTTGGGCTCCAGAGCCAAACCCAGGGCAGGAGAGTGTTCACACTAAGCGGCTGGGAAACATTACCAGCCAGAGAGTCAGCTGCTCAAGGAATGCCCGCCCAGAGATACATGTGTGAGAAAGATGTTGCCGTTGGACAGCAATGGCAAAAAGTCTGCCCAAATGAGCTTCCAACTGCCTTCTGAAGTTCCAGATGTCCTCATCCTTCATGTCCCTAGCACCCTCTCACCACTGCTCAGGGCTGTGACCCAGGTGTCGGTCTGTTTGGCAAGGTCCAGGAGCCAGGGCCCCTGAGAGACCTGCCTTCCACACCCGGCAGTCCTCAGACGTCCTGCCTAGATGGGGAGAACTGCAGCTCCCACAGGAGACAAGACCCACCTCGGGATCCTCAGGGAAGATGTTGTCAACCAGCCTTTTGTACCTGGGACGTAGGGCACCACAGCAGCCACACACACCTGGAACGGAGGCAAGAAAAACCCATGAGCAAAGCCACCTACCAGGCTGAGGAGACCTCGGAGCCAGAGTCAGCTCAACTTGTGAGGAAACAAAACCAGGCTGGAAACAGAAAAGTCCCTCCCTTGGCACACCAGGGCCTTGTTCTCCTGAGATGTGGCATCTCTCATCGCTTCCCTGCCCCCGCATCCCAAGACGTTTGCCATTCCTGCTTCATGGCTTTGCTTGGTGGTCAGATATAGTGACATATGCAAGGCCAGACCATAAAGAGTATTTGGAGAGGTGAGGCTCTGGGGGTAGGGGCATACACAAAGGCCAGATGCTGCTCCCACGTACTCCACTGCTACACAAACACACACACACACACACACACACACACACACACACACACACACACAGGACTATAAAACTACCTCCTGCTGCCCAAGAATCTAACTGAAAGGACATAACATGGAGTCAATATACCCAATGAGCAGCCATTTTAACATTGCTTAGCTTTGTCATGTTTTTCTAGCAGTGCACTTTTAATTTACCCTCTAATCACTAGCCAAGGGCAGAACAGGTTTCTCAGAGGTTTCTCTATTGATAATTGCTTTACAACCCTCTCCCCAGCTTGTCTTTTTTTTGATGCCTGACACTGTCTTCATTTGGCTTTGCTTTTGTCAAGCTTGTTTTGTAAACAAGTTAACCTAATCAGTTCTTCATGCCCTTCATGACACAGACCCCATCAACATGGCAACATCATGTGACTGACCCACCCATCTGCCTGCTGTCTATCAGTACCTGTGCTCACCTGCCCTCTGAGATGACATGGAGCAGACTACCACCCAATCACCTTAACGACCTGCCCCCATAAAGGGGAAGGTTTAAAAGGCATTCAGCTTCAAACAGTAGTCACCATTGTTTTGTTGAGCTATGGCCACCATGTTTTCTCAACTTTGGCTCCCTCCCCTACCTTGGGGAGGTGAATCTCCTCTCTCTCTCTCTCTCTCTAATTTAATTTCTAGCCATTGCTTTGCTAAACACTGGCCAGGCCATGTTTTCCTAAGCCTTGCCCTCCCCACCTCCTGCCCCAGTCATTAGCCATGGCTTTGCTAAGCCATGGTCTGGCCATGTGGCTCCTTGAGCTATGGCCACCATGGTTTCCTAGCTCTGGCCCCCTCCCCTATCCTGGGGAAGTGAATCTTCACTCTCTCTCTCATTTACTTTCTAAATAAACTACATTTTCTAATCTAACTTCTGTGCAATTCTTTGCATCTTTCATGCAGCACTGGGTCTCAAGCCAAACACAGCCCCCATGGGGTCTGATCTAACACTAACCTAGAGTGGGAGAGGGATACTGGCTTGAGGGGCAGTCGCTCTTCCTCACCCGCCCCCTCATTTCCTCAACTTCCTTTATTCTCTGCTCCTCAATCTCCTTCTACCATCCTCTCTCCTGGGGCCATTTCCATTATAGAATGTTATGTGAAACTATGATAAATTAACATCACCATCAATTATTAACATTTGAAAATGCATCTTTAATGCAGTGTGACCCTGGTGTTTGAAAACAGCAGCATTTTAGACTTGGGCAGGGCCTTAAGAGCCACGCTGTTTGTGGTTCTCAAATGCCAGACCCTGGGTGTGGATTTCCCCCTTCTGTGGCAAAACAAAAAAACTAAGAATGATGTGGTCTGTATGTGTTCTTAAAGCTAAATGTATTCTGTTGAGAAGACGAGAAAATGACTTCCTTCTTCATCTGTCGGTGCTGTGAAGCCATGGTGTTCGGAAATCAGTGATAAAACAAACTCTGACAAAACGAAAAGTTGATTCTAGATGCCACCATAGTTTCCATTAGTAGGAAGCAGAACCACTGCTCTTCAGCCTTCCTTCAAATGTAGGAACCTCCTCTTCCACATCTCAGCTGTACCGCCCACTGAGGGGAGGGCAGACATGGAGTGGGAGAGGAAGACAGAGGACTGGAGAACAGATGAACAAACAAGGGCCTGGGAAAGTCGGCCCCCCCCCATAAGCGCCCCATGCATCCCACCAATTAAAGATGAATTCTGTTTGTACAAGCACTCTACTTGAAATGCAAATTTGCCCTGAGAAGATTAAGCCTATAGGTCATTCAGAAAAGAATGAATTCCTTTAGTGGGAATTACTTTAATCACTCTAAGAGGTTTACACAGAGCAGAGAAAAGCAGCTCTTTGGGAGTTTTGATTGGGAGGGGTGTGGGGCGGGCACCTCCAGGAAGAGGATTGGCTCTAGGGGTGATTTGGGTTTTTGGGGAATGGGCATGTCCTTGGAGAAGCCAAAGGACTCCAAGACAGTGAGCACCCAGGGGCAAGGTATCAGGTAACTGATTTGTGATCCCTCCGCAACTCCGCCCCCGCATAGCTGTGTGTCCCCCAAGCTCCACTCCTGCGCACAGGGAGGGGCAGGTAGGTAATTGCGCCAGCTGCAAGCCTAGGCTCTCTGGATCTAGTCTGGCTGCTGACCTCACCTTTTATTTATTTATCTATTTATTATTTATTTATTGGATTGGGGTCTCACTCGTACGACTCTGGCATGATCACAGCTCACTGCAACCTCAACCTTCTGGGTTCAGGCAGTCCTCCACCTCAGCCTCTCAAGTAACTGAAACTACAGGTGTGTGCCACTATACCCTGTTAATTTTTAAAATTTCTGTAGAGACAAGGTCTCACTATGTTGCTTAGGCTGGTCTTAAACTCCTAGGCTCAAGCGATCCTCTGGCCTCGGCCTCCCAAAGTGCTGGGATCACAGATGTGAGTCACTGCACCTGACCCTGCTTCACTTCTGGTATCTCTCTAGCCAGCTGACAGCCAGGGTTATTTCTCATGATGGGAGAGTCCTGAGGGACATGTTCCCACCCCTCTTCTGGGGCCTCAAAGCCCAGGGTTTAAACCTGGGGTTGCCCCTCTCCTCTGCCAGGTGCAGCTGTCAGGGTGCTTATTCCCAAGGTGTCCAGATAGGGGATACTCTATGCTCTCCCACCAGCCCCCTCTGTCACTGTCCCTAAACCAGGAACACTGGCTCCTTGCATTTTAATGGAGGAAGGAAATAGAAACATGGCAAAGTTAGGACTAAAACATTCTATCAAATTCCTTCCTTAAACCTTTCTGAAAGACCTATGAGCTGAGGCCTGCACTGGACAGAGGCCAAGCTCATGGTCACTAGAACCCAGGCTTGTCAAGGAGACCATGCAATACCATCTTAGGTCCTCAGGGGCTGAGGGACTGTTAGTGCTGCTAGTGTGGCTGGAGAGGGTTCCCAAGGCGGCAGGCCTAGGCATGATGCTGACTCAGTTTCCTCCCAAATGAAAACCAGGTAGCCTGCCGGCCTCCTCTTATCCTGTATTCTAGAAGAGGAGCTCCTTAAACCATCCCTTGTTCATCCCTCCTTCTCCTGTCCACAGGCCTTCTCCAGCACAAACTCCTCGAGGAGCTTTCCGAGCAGGGCCCTGAGTGGAGCCAGCCACATGCAGGGCCCCAGGGCATTTCCCCCCCAGTGGGGGTCAGGTACAAAGGCCTGAAGAACCAGAGATAAAGGGGGGCAGCTTCCTGACTTACTCCCCAACATTTCCTTCTAGTCTTTTCTGTCTAACCTCTTCAGACCCTCTGAGGGCAGGGACTGGTGAGGCCAAGTAACCAGCAGCATGGGGCTCCCAGGTTTGCCGCTTCCTAAATGTGTGACTTTGAGCAATTATCAATAATGCTGCTATAAACACCCATATGCAGCTTTTTGCGTGGACATAGCTTTCACTTCTTCTGGGCAAATACCAAGGAGTGTGATTGCTGGATCTTATGGGAAGAGTAGATTTAAGTCTGTAAGACACAGCCAAACTGTCTTCCAACATGGTTGGACCACTTTGCATTCTCACAGTGACCAATGAGAGTTCCTGCAGGTCCACATCCTTGCCAGCATAGATTGTTGTCAGTGTCCAGACTGGGTCCATTCTAACAGGTATGTAGTGGTATCTCTTTGTTGTTTTAATTTGCATTTCCCTGATGACATATGATGTGGAGAATCTTAACATATGCATGTTTGCTAACTGCATGGTGAGGTGTCTGTTATTGACATTCTCTGTACACAAGGGCCCTGTCTCTAAATGTGGATGAGAGCTGTTACAAGGTCAAAGTATGTCTATAGTTGCAAAGCACTTACAGCAGGGCTGGGACTGGCAAGCCCCAGTGCAGGTTCTGGGAGCTGCCTGCCCCATCTGTATTCCCCCAGGCCCAGGGCCACTGAGCCCTTCTGTTCATGCTAGCTGGTTGATGCTGGCTTGGTACACCTTAGCAGAGCTTTCCACTTGCTTGGGCACAGTGATCAAAGTCAACAGATGTCCAGTGGCCTAAGAAGTGAGAATCTTGGCTGGCGGGTGGCTCAGCCTGTAATCCCAGCACTTTGAGAGGCTGAGATGAGAGGACTGCCTGAGCCTGGGGGTTCAAGACCCAGCCTGGGCAACTTGGTGAGACCTTGTCTCTACAATAAATAAAAAAAAAATAGTAGGGCATGGTAGCGCGTGCCTGTAGTTCCGGCTACTTGGAAGACTGAGGCAGAAGGAGCCCAGCAAGTTGATGCTGGGGTGACCATGAGCACCAGCCTGGGTGAAAGAGTGAGACTCCGACTCAAAAAAAAAAAAAAAGTGAGAATCTCACAACATTCCATCAGACTATCAAACCCCAAACCTCACTGGCCCCATGGGTTGGAAACACACGCCACTTACCCAAGGCAGCTCCATGTACTTGCAAGTAGCAATAACTTGACCTCAGCCTCAGCCTTCATCCCTGCCCGGCCACCTTCCCAAAGCCAGAGTCCCCAGACCTTCCTGTCTCAGCAGCAGCTCTACGAACCCTAATGCAGAGGTGGCACAACACAAGTTCACACACATATAAGAGAAAGAATCTGTGGGACTTGCCCTTGGAAGGTCCCTGGGAGAGTGTGACAGTATGGTGGTGGAAGAGAAGGTGAACCTTAAGGCACAGAACAGCAC